GAAAGTGATTTACCCTGCCTTTCTCATAGCTTTCCTACTGCTTTTAAGGACTCTTCCTCATATGTACATACTGCACTTTCTTTTGCACTTAAAATTTGTTAAGGGGGTAGATCTCACTTGTTCTTACCACAATTAAAAAAAAAAAAGTACTCTCTTTTTCTCTAGCTTGTTGTTAGGGGCAACCTCAGCCAAAAGGCCTCAGAATTGGATACAAAGTCAAGTGAAACACACACACACTGAAAGTGTCATGTCTCTGCTTAAAATCCTTGCAGATTCTGGTTAAGAGTGTGAGGTTTTAATGTTCTGTTTGATAAGAAGCCACTGGGAGCTGGAGCGGGGCTGTGAGCTGGAGTTCGTTGCTCAGGGAATTCTGTGTGTAGACACCAAGCAAGTATCTGATGGGAGAGAAGGAGGGGTGACTCCTCAGAAGGAGACAGAAACACAGCTGGAGAGAGATCCTCCTGCAGGGAAGTGAGAGAGGCCGAGTCTGTGTTCTGGTGGCAGAAGGCAGGCACGTCCCTCTTCACTGCAGCTGTCTGTGACGATGCAAGGCAGCCAGGGAAAGCACACACCTTCCCCTTTATTAATCCAGGAGGCAAAGACACAGACGTGGGTCGAGCACCCTGAAGTCCAGACTGGAGGCTGGAAGATCTTTCTATCAATCTGGTCGGAAGCCCAGGAATATCAGAGCCAGCAGCGAGCTCCAACTTAGCACCAGGGGGGTGGGGGTGGCACAGGAGGTGGGGAGTCAGGGAGGAGGGGGCTGCTCCATCAGGGTTAGGCCAGGTGGTGGCCAACAACACAGAAGATCGGGGCACCAAGACTCCCTATCACTTTGTACAAGGTGATTCATTATCTGATGGTGTTTGACACAGTGGAAATTCACACGTTGGTGTGGAGCACAGATCTGTCACCTTCAGGCCACACAACATCATTGTCACCTTCTGGCAGCAGCTTTACCTAACTGTAACCCAAATCCTAAATGACCAAGTAACCAACTTTGGGGCGTCCCAGGTGGCTCAGTGGTAAAGAACCCGCCTGCTAATGCAGGAACCGTAGAAGACATGGGTTCGATCCTTGGGTTAGGAAGATCCCCTGAAGGAGGAAATGGCAACCTGCTCCACTATTCATGCCTGGGAAACCCCACAGACAGAGGAGCGTGGTGGGCTACAGTCCATGGAGTTGCCAAGAGTCGGACACGGGCAATGTTCCCATGTACACTGAGCGACTGAGCACGTACGCAATCAACTTTTGTGACCCAGATTTGGAGGGTAACTGCTGATGTCCATACAAGCAGGACTTTTCACATTAGAGAAAAGAAATCTCCCAAGAGGAGAGAGGTGGTCATCTTTGATCATGGGGAGAGGAGGGCGAGGAGGGCCAGTTAACCAACCCCTCCTTCCCCTGAGAAGGGGAACGTGGAAGACTGGTCCTCACGCAGAAGGGAAAGCTGATCAGGACAGGGAGCTGACGCCTCCTCCAGGATGCGAGCGGCTGAAGAAACAGGCAGACAGGAGCCGCAGAGAAAGCGGATGGACACCTGCATCTCTGTGGAGTTTCTCATCAGCTCTTGCTGGGAAAAGGAGCAAGTGTGAAGTGGGAGGGCTTCTGATAGAAGAGGAGCCACCAAGTGAGCTTAAGAAAGAAGAAGACCAGAAACTGCCAGTGGTCCAGTGGTTAAGACTCCGCACCCCCAATGCAAGGGATCCAGGTTCGATCCCCGGTTGGGGAGCTAAGATGCCGCATGATGCATGGGGGCAGCTCAGAAAAAGAAGAAGAAGAAAACTAACTAGGGAGGTCAATACCAAAGGGATGGAAAGACAGGGGCCTATCTGAATCTTAGAGTTCAGTGTTTGTCTAAAAGAAAACCAATGTTTAAGGATACCCACCAAAGGACAGGTGTCTTTGCAAACCCCTTCCTGACACAGCATCTTGCCTATAGCAGAGCAGATGCCTGACACATGGGGGGTGGGAGGCCACGAGCAACAGGTCACAGAGTTGTATAAGAAGGACAACACCTCAATGTGAGCTCAATCCCAAAAGGCAGGCTCAGGCACTGTGTGCGTGGAGCGATTGGCACTCCCCCACCCCAGCCAAAAGCATCAGAAAACCCCCAAAGTCGGGAAAGGCGACAGAGCTGCTAACTCTCAACCTGATCCCCAGAGAGCATTTTTCATCTCAACATAACCCAGCTCAACCTCCTTCCATCACCACCTCCCCCAGGCCTGCTAAGTGTTGTTGATTTCTGCTCCAGAGTTGCCTGCCAATCCGTGCGCTTGGCTTCCTCTTCCAAGCACTCCAAGCCCATCGTTTCAGCCCTGGACGCCCACAGCTGCCTCTAACAGGGGCTCTGGGCTCTTGGTTTCCTCCCTGCATACCAGGAAAGGGGTCTTCTTTAAAAGCTAATCTGGCACCAATGCAGGAGACACAAGTTCAACTTCTGATTTGGGAAGATCCCACACGCCCTGGAACAACTAAGCTTTATTTAAACTTGACTTGAGACATCTGATTTAAGGAGGACTCCAAGTGACCAAAATACTCAAATGAAAGTGAAGGTGAAAGTCGCTCAGTCATGTCCGACTCTTTGCGACCCCATGGACTATACAGTTCTTGGAATTCTCCAGGTCAGAATATTGGAGTGGGTAGCCTTTCCCTTCTCCAGGGGATCTTCCCAACCCAGGGACTGAACCCAGGTCTCCCACATTGCAGGTGGATTCTTTACCAGCTGAGCCACAAAGGAAGGCAAATAATATCTGCATAATATCTGCATGATTTAATATTACCACTATGATTGTATTTTGAATTGATAAGCATCAAAGAATTTATGTTTTTGAATTGTGGTGCTAGGGAAGACTCTTGAGAGTCCCTTGAACTGAAAGGAGATCAAACCAGTCAATTCTAAAGGAAATCAACCCTGAATATTCATTGGAAGGACTGAAGCAGAAGCTGAACTCCAATACTTTGGCCACCTGATGCAAAGAGCCAACTCACTGGAAAAGACCCTGATGCTAGGAACGATTGAAGGCAAAAGGGGACGACAGAGGATGAGATGGTTGGATGGCATCACTGACTCAATGAACATGAGTTTGGGGAAACTCTGGGAGATAGTGAAGGATGGAGAAGCCTGGTGTGCTGCAGTCCATGGGGTCATAAAGAGTCAGACACAACTGAGTGATTGAACAAAAACAACCAGTTTCACAGGTAAATTGGATACAAATCCATCTTTCAGGCTGACTACTATAATGTTAACTCAGTTATAAAAGAGGAATCAAAGGTGGAGAGATGGCACAAGGAGAAAAAGTGGAAGAGGCTGGTATCTGGCAAGATCCTTGGAAAACTCACCTATTACAAAAACAGCAATCTACCTCAGCGTCTACTAGCATTAATGGTACAAAGTGGACAGGTGTCTCCAAAGGCCACCAAATGAGACCAGCTGGCCATGATGTCATTAGTAACGTGTGGTCCAATTCTACCATCACCAACAACAAAATGGCCAGTTGCTGCCCGAGGCCCTTGACATTCGTCATGTCAAAATGTCCAGAACAACCCTCCGTGGTAAGTACCAATATTATCTCCATTTCAGAAACAAGAAAACTGAGGAAAAGAGACGCTCAGTACCTCGCCATAGGTCACACAGCTGTCAAGCAGCAGGGGGAGTCCCCCTGCAAGAACTGCTGCTTGCAGGCTGCTGCCCTGCAAGAACTGCTGCTTGCAGGCTGCTGCCCTGCAAGAACGCACAGCATCCGCATCGCCAACAAGCCCCTTGCAAGTTCACAGACTTGGCTGTCCTCTCCAGATGGTGTGGAGCAAGGGGGGATCCCATGGGAGAGTGCCCTACAGGTGCCTGTGAACTTGGTGGCACCCAGGGCCCACTGGAGCAGCTTGGGGAGCCAGGGGCCCAGAGGCAAGGACCCAGGAGGCCCGCAGGCCCCAGTTGCCTCGCTAACGCGGATCATACACACTCACATCCTCTGGAGTCAGGAATCTCTGCACTGAGTCCCTTCAGCAACATCTCTGCTTGAATGCTCCCCATGACGGGAAACTCACTACCTTATGAGACAGTCTCTCCATCTCTGGATGGCTCCTGCTGTTTGAAATGTCTCCCACATGTGAATTCATAACCATCTCCCTATAGCTCCCTCCCGCTCTTTGGAACGATCATGGTTCCCCTACATCCCTTCAAATGCTGGGGTTCACATAGCCTACATCTTCCCCAGGATGAAATGTCCCCAGTATCCCCCAAGCATTGTGATCTCCAGTCCCTCCTCACATGGGCCTTTGCCCAAATCAGAACTCCAGCCCCACTGAAACAAGCTCTGACATGACCTGGACATGTGCAGGCTGGCCTGACTGAAGTCTGCCCTGACATCAGCAACCCAGGGTGACAGGGTGCTTTGACCAGAGGAGTCCCACCTAGAAAGGGCTTCTTGGGTCGCCGGGTGGCCCCCAAAGGCTTCCTGCTGCTGTAGAGACCAGTGGTGTCCAGACCATCCCCTGGGCGCTTGGAGGCTATCTGGAGTCGCGGGGGCCAGGAGTGGGGGGTGGGCGAGATACCCTGGTCTCTGGACCCCCACCCCTCGTCTACCTAGAACACAGCTGCTTCAGCCTGTTTTATAAACGGGGCTTCTACATTTTATAAACGCGTTTGAAGCATCACGGCTCAAGAATGTCTAAAACTGCTGATGCCGCGTGACACGCTTTAGCCTCTTGGGCACGTGCTGTCTCCCTCATCCCGTGTGTGCCAACACCGCGGCTCAAGCCAGCGCCAAGATAAGGGGCCTTTTCCCTGGACCGGGAGACCCAGGCCCCTTGCTCTGCCACTCCAGGGACACTGGAGACCCGGCCGGGCTCTGCGCACATGAGGGCCGCGCAAGCGCACGCGTGACGGCGGCGGTGCGGGCGCGCACACGGGGGCGCACAGAGGCTGCGCCGGGGACCTGGGGAGCCGGCCGGGCGGCGCCCCTGGACTGCGCGCGGAGGGCGGGGGTGGGGGCACTCACAGGGCAGCGTCTCGGCGCGGCTCTTCTGGATCATTATGCAGAGCTGTAGCACCAGTTGGGGGGCGCTTTCCAGGAAGGTCTCCAGGAGGCGCAGCATGTTGACGTCTGCATATTCGTACATCATAGCCCAGTAGAAGCGTCGCTGGTGTTCCTTCTGCCGCTGGCTCTGAATCCCCAGGTACATGGTGCGGATATACCTGCGAGAGACGGGACAGAGCAGAGAGAGAGGCATGGGTTGGGGTGGCGGTTCTGGAAGGGCCAGGCCCTCCCGGGCAAACCAGCCTCCCCTCCTTGGTTCGGGGGTTTTCCAGGTGCTGGGACCAGCTCTAGGGGTTCTCCCAGCCGAGTGAGGTACTGAGGCTTCAGGGTGGGGTGGGGTGGGGTCAGGCCAGGGAAGGGGGCCCGGGCAAGTTGTCCCCTCCCCCGCCGCGGTTTGCTCATCTGTGAAGTGAGAAATGGAAGAGTGGGGCCCAGGGACCTTGCGGGCCTGCCAAGGCAGGATCACAGGTGAGCTCGGGGGGCAGGTGGGCTCGCTCAAGTTCGGGGTCCCAGGGGAAAAATTCCAGTAGGGTTTTCACCTCTCTGGAGGAGGAGGGAAAGGAATTAGCATTTATGAAATTCCTACTGGGGATCACTGGAGGGCTGCCCGCTGTGGCCTGGGGCCCGGGCGACAGGCGGAAGTAAACCCATGTGGGACAGGCAGGCAGGGCTCACAGGCACAGGCTCCAGAGGTGGATGCGGGAGACACCAGGAGCTGGCCGAGGCTGCTGGACCCCAAAACTCATGCGTGCCCCGCTCCACGCTAGGGGGAGCCTACAGTGGTGCCTCCATCCAGGTGCGGCCCGGGACTCGGCCACACAGACACATGGACCCCACTCCCTCTGAGGAAGCGGCGCAGGTGGAGGGCGTGGGCTCTCTCCTCTGCTAATTGTGGGGGCCTGGACTAATCACCCCAACTCTGTGTCTCTGTTACTTTTCTTTAACATAAGAGAGTTACAGCCTCATGAGGCTGATGGGGAGCTTGGGGAGACGATCCCAGTGCTGGCTGTGGACCCAGGCCCACAGAAGAAAGCCCCTATGCCTGCTGCAGTTCTCCCTAAACTGTAGAAGCTTTCAACAAGGGGAGGATAGGCGGTATCATGTAAGCCGGACTTGGGAAGACGCCCTGGAGAAGGAAATGGCAACCCACTCCAGTATTCTTGCCTGGGAAATCCCATGGACAGAGGAGCCTGGCGGGCTACAGTCCATAGAGTCGCCAAGAGTCAAACATGGCTGAAGCGACTTAGCACACACAGAAGCCAGACTCAGCCAGCGGTCTCTGGGGCCAAGCGCAGCCCAGAGAAGCTGGCAGCGCCAGGACCAAAGCAAGGTTCAGAAAGCACAGTGGGCCCAGGTAGAATCAAGATCATGCAGCATCAATTGGGGTCACAGACAACAGGACAGACTGGCATGTGCGTCCCTGGCCACCCCCTGGGAATGTGTCTTCTAAACCACCAAGCCAGAATCACAGAGGTTGAGAGCGTGGCTGACCCCTACATGGTCCCCGCTGTCCCCAGGCACCCCATCAGGGGCCCACTTGGGGGTCTGTCTCCATTGCCACTGCCAGCCTGGTCCCTGCCATCACCCCCTCTCTCTTGGATCAAAGCAGAAGCCTCCTAAGTGGGCTCCCAGGGCCCACTCTTGCCCCCAGAACAACCCACTCTCTGCCCAGCAGCCAAGGCACTTTGTCAAGATCACGGACACAGTCCTGTCCCCAGCTTCTTCAGCCCTCCCTGACTTCCCATCATGCTCAGAAGAAAATCCCACCCCTCCCTCGGCTCCTGGGCCCTGCCTGCCCCCCAGCCTCATCGCCTGTTATCTCGCCAAACGTTCTGGTGTATTGTGTCTCTCTCGCAGACATGTGAGCTTGTCTCTGTTCACACCGTCCCAGGGGGGCCTGTGGAAGAAGGGAGACTCCTGCCCCCAGGGCTGAGTCCCCCCTGCACTGTCACAGCATTGCGAAGGCAGCCCACTTCCCCGGGTACACTGAAGTCTAAGAGGCTCCCAGAGAGGGGCTCTGTACTCCACTCCTTGAAGCAATGGGAAAAGTGGGCATTGCCCAGGAACCTCGTATGGAGTTTACAGCAGCCCGCGCTTTAGAAGCAGAGGTGAGAAAACGTACATTTGCAAAATAATATAAAACTACAGTGATGCTCCTATCTAAGTCCAAACTGGTGGGCCTCCTACCTATGGAGAAGACCTCAAAGAAGACCCATGGGGGGGCTGAGACAGATGCCTTATTTCCTGCATATACATTCCCTGGGGTGAGCGGAGAACAACCCTGGGGAGGCGCTGCAACAGGCATGGTGTCAGGCTGGAGTGAACAGTGCGCGGCTGCCAGCCCCACCGGGCACCGCTGCGGGCCAGGCGTCTCCCGAAGGTCCTGCCACGCCCTGGGGGGCAGCTCTGGTTACCGTCACTTAACACCAGACAGAAGCTCCGAAGTGAAGCAGGGCGCTGACTCCTTGCCTGCTCCAGGTTCTATCACTCACTGGCTGCGCCGCCTCCCGTGAGTCCCTGCCTTTCTCCAGGCCCGTCTGTAAGTTCCCTGAATCACGGGGCCAGGGCAGAGGCAGGCGGGAGGACGGGGTGGGGGTGCTGGTGGCTGACCTGACCTGGAAAGTTGCGGGGTCACTGAGAGAGGAGCAGAGACCGAGAGACACGAGAGACGGCCACACAGAGGGACGGGGGAGACCCTGGACAGGGAAAGGGACGAGGGAGAGGGGAGCTATGTCAGAACCGAGGGCCTGAAGGAGACCGGCTAGACGAGGTGACCATAGCCACAGGCTGGGCGGGGGAGGCCGCTCTAAGGACCTGTGGTCCCAAGTAGTTGGAAGGGGCTGGGGAGCCGGACTCCAGAGCCCCGGGCAGAGGGGATGGTCGGATCAGGTCGGATAAGGTCAGATGGTGGCCTGGGGGGACAGCGCAGGAGGGGACGAGGGTGCCCTGGTGAGTCCAGAGGCTCCGCACAGGCACCCAGAATAGCCACGTGGCCCGAGAGCCTTGGTGCCGTGGGTCTCCCAGGTCGGATATGGGCTCTATGCTCCTAAACTCCTCTCTGCTCAGCTGTGGTGCCTGCAGGGCGCACTGCCGGGGGCCAAGCCTCCCTCAGGGGGCAGACCACAAAGCTCTCCTCTCTCAGGTCTGCTCTCAGACCTCAGCCTCTGCCTCCCCCAGCCTCACAAGGGGGCCCCATGGGGGAACGATTCTGTATCACAACCCAAGCCTATCTATGCATCCAGGTCCCCAGGCGAGGGAACACCAACACTCAGGTTCACCCAGGTCAGCCTTGCCAGGGCAAAGGGAGCTCTTGATCTGCCCTTCCACGCCCCTGTTCCCCAAGCCACTAGCCCCCCTGTCCAGCATGGCCAGAGAAATGGAATACAACGAGCCCAGAACACATTGGTTCAACCATAACACCTGCCAGAGAAACCAAGCTTGCCTCCATGGTAACATCCCAAGATACGGGAAGAGATGAAGGTAGGAGCCACTCCCCACCCATAAGCAGACAGATGCTCGAAGCCCCGTGTGCACCAGGATCAAGTCTGAGACCAAAAATGGTTATCATGCCTCCTGGGATGCCAGCTCACATAGCCTGCCGCCTGGAGTAGGGGCTGTATCAGAGTCCAGTTCAAAATTCCCCATCAAGGGCCTTCCATCCAGTCCTCTGGCTCCTGCGCCCTCCTCTTCTGTCCTCAAGTCCCTGGGTCCCTGGTAGACCTTACAGAATCCAGAGCGGGGTCCTGATGACCTCTGGGGAAGCCCAGCCAGCAGCCTCTTCTTGCTAAGCCGTCACCCCTGTGCAAAGCCAGCCATGGCCAGGGCCACAAGGTGGCGCCAGACCCTAAGCCACGCAGGAAGGCTGGTCCTCCGCACCGTGATCTCATGCCCAGCCGGTGGCCTCCCAAGGCCTGCACCTTTCAATGCGGCAGCATCGGGGTGCAAGGGGGCGGCTGGCCAGGCCGAGGGGCAGTCCCAGATGTGCCACGTCCCCACCAGAGAGCATCTGCAGGAGACACAAGGTGGGCTGCTGCTCCCTCACCTTCTCCCTCCCCCCAGCAGGCTCCAGAAAGCTCACCTCCCCCAGAACGGTGGTTTGGGAGGAAAAACGTCCAACTCTCCTCCTCCTGCCTGGCTTCCACCTGGATTCTGTGTCACCTGCTGTCACACTATTTCTCTCCTAAGAACACTGGATCATGAAAGGCACGGATCTGCAGGCAGGCAGGCAGCTGTCCTGTGGGGCAAGGACTCAGGAAACCTGTGTCTGGCATGAGGTCCGCGGGGCTGCTCGACCTTGGGCAATTCACCCATCACAGAGGGGCAGGCCGAAGGCTCGCTAAGCCGAAGGATCCTTCGATTAACTCCATCTCTCTCTGGCTTCTCAGAGCCTAGAGAAGGGCCAAGCCTCTTGACAAGTAACACCAGTGTTTGTGTGGCGCTCACATGTGACTGCTGTGAGTAATGTGAGAATCTTTAAGAGAAAAACAAAGTCTACCAAACACTGGAAGTAGAAATATTGATAGCATCAACTCTATACACTCTTTTCCCAGAAAAATAAAAGAGGAGCGAATACTTCTGTGTTCACTTTATGAAGTCAGCCTTACTCTATTACGTGAAGTCAGACACGTACCACACAAGAAAATAAAACTACAGACAATATCTCTTATAAAAGTAAAGTGTTAGTCACTCAGTCATGTCCAGCTCTTTGCAACCCCATGGACTGTGGCCCACCAGGCTCCTCTGTCCATGGAATTCTCCAGGCAAGAACACTGGAGTGGGTAGCCATTCCCTTCTCCAGGGGATCTTCCCTACCCAGGGATAGAACCTGGGTCCTGTGCATTGCAGGCAGATTCTTTACTGTCTGAGCCAGCAGGAAAGCCCCATCCCTTATAAACACAGATGCAAATACCTTTAACAAAATACCAGCAAATCAAATTCAGTGATATGCGGAAAAATAGTATTTGATAGCCAACTGGAGTATATTTGGGGAATGTAAGGCTGACTCTATATTCAGAAATCAATTAATGTAATTAATGATATTAAGAGGTAAAACCACACACTACATTAACTGATGCAGAAAGAAAGCATTTGACAGAATTCAACATCCACTGATGATTAAAAAAAAAAAAAAGCTCTCAGCAAACCAGAAATAGAAAAGAGCTTTCTTAACCTGACATAGATGAAGGACATCTATAAAAATTAATAGTTAATATCACACTTAATGATATAAAGACTGAAGAACTTAAGATCAGGAACAAGGCAGTAATGTCTACACTCACCATTCCTATTTAACATCATACTAGAAGTCCTGGTCAGTACAATAAGTCAGCGGAAAGAAATAAGTTTATACAAACTGCAAGGAAAGGGACTTCCCTGGTGGTCCAGCAGTTGAGAATCTGCCTTCCAATGCAGGGGACGCAGGTTCTATCCCTGGTCAGGTAACTAAGATTCCTCCTGCCAGGAGGCAACTAAGCCCCCAAGCCACAACTATGACCTGATGCAGCCAAAAATAATCAATCAATTAAAAAAATTTTTTTAATTGCAAGGAAAGAAGTAAAATTGTCCCTATTTGTAAATGATATAATTATCTGGATAAAATCCCCAGAAATATAAAAAAAAAAGTTCACAGAAATAATTAGCAAGTTTAGCAAAGTCTCATGATACAAGGAAGACAGAGGAAGGAGCCTGATGCACTGTAGTCCATGGGGTTGCAGAGTCTGACCCAACTTAGCCACCAAACACCGCCAACAACACGATACAGGGTCATCGTGTGAAAACTGAATGTGTCTCTTTAGACTACTAGTGAACAATGGGAAATTGAAATTAAAAAAAAAAGATACCACTTAAACAAGTTCCCCTAGGGGAAGGCAGGACAGGCAAGGGGATTAAGAGGGACAAACTATGAGGCATTAAATAAATAAGTCACAGGGACGAACGCACAGCACAGGAAATACTGTCAGGACGTCCCGGTAACTTTGTTCAGAGTATAATCTATAAAGATATCGAATCGCTCTGCTGCACCCGAAACCAGTATAATACTGTAAGTGACTTATCCGTCAATTTAGAAAAGCTTTTATATTTTTGCACTATTTAAACACAAGCAGCCTGTGCCTCCGGGGGCATGTTGACCCTCGTCCTGGGTGGGCGTGGAGCACTCTCTCCCAGGCACACACACACCACCACCAAGATCGCTCCAAACAAACACCACACACACTCATGCACACGGCGCTCACAATGTGGACACACTGCTACGTGTGCACATGCTAACCATGCATGAAGTTCACGTACCCTCACGGCCACATGCTGTGTCCAATGCAGACACACACACACACACTGCCACGCACCCGAACACATGGCACAAGTCCAGGCCCTCGCTTGTACAGACCCCCATAGCCCATGATCATATCCTGGTGTCAACAGGCCCCAACCGGGGACCCCTGAGGGGTGGGTCTCTGCCTGCCCCTGGCATCAACAGCTGACTCAGAGGACGGATGCAGAGGGCAAGCCTAAAGCACATCACTTCTGGGTAGGTGTGGGGTTCTCCCACTTCCCCCACTGGTAGCCGGGAATCGCCAGAGAGAAGGCGCTGGAGCTACTGGACAAGGAGAGAGGGCATGCAGGGCTCTCATCGTGGGAGGAATCCTGCCCCCGACATCAAGGACAGAGCTGGGCCAGCTGCTACCTCCACACCCGCCCGAGCTCACTGACATCTGAACTTGTCAGCCCCGGCCCTGCCACACCTGTCCTGCTGCATCTCCACCTGAGCCTGGCAGATCGGGGAAGCCTGGCTTGTGGTCGCGGTGAAGGCGTTGAGAGCTGTCACGATGATGCCTGATCTGCACTCTCATCTGGTCTGTCCTTCTAGGTGGAGGGGCTCCTTCCCGCGTGTCCTCTGCATCGCTGACTGCATCCCAGGGGCCTAGGGCCAGGTGGCTGTGCAGTGGCCCCAAAGCAAGGTGGGGCGGTTTCAGGGTTCTGGGCTGCATGGCGCTTGCTTGTGCAGCAACCTTGCTGGTCTGGGGTCTGTCACCTGCTGAGGATGGAAGCTGACCTGGGTCCCCAGGCATTAACGGGGGCTCCAGGGCTGTGGTGTCAAAAAGGGGGTGCTCCCACCTGTAGGATGCTGACTCCATGCCCAAGTAGGAACCCCTGAGAGTCTTCCCTGGGGCCCCAGGTCAGGACAGAGGAAAGTCCCTCAAGCTCTTCTTCATCACAGATCTTGGGGGCACCCAAGCTGTGGCAGACAGGATCAGGGTTCAGCCTGCCTGCCTAACCTCTGCCAGGTACTGGTACTCCCATTTTTACAGATGAGGAAAATCGAGGCTAACCTGGATCCAGTAACCCAGGGGGCTCCCCAGTGGCTGTGCAGTGAGGTATCCAACCTCCTGCCTCCGCCCCACCCCCCACACACATGCTCCCCGCCCCTGGCCACACATGCTGCTCCTCCAGTCCCAGGCCTTCCTGGCATTGCTCATCTCAGTGTCTTGGCTTCTGCTGTCCCCATCATCCCCGAAGGGCCCAGTTCTCCCCACGTGCCTCACTCCATGCCCAGGTCCCAGCATTTCCCTTCCCCACTTCTATATGCTGGGTCCTCAGTATAGTAATAGCTCCTATTTGTGGGGTTCTCCCTACATAATAGGTACAGTGTGAACCTTCTACATATATTATGTCATTTAACCTGAGAACGTCACGATCATCAACAGATGAAACCGAAGCAAGAGGAAGTCCCAGGATGTGGCTGCCAGCCTCACGCCACGCGCTGGACTCCAGAGGCGGTGCTTCTAACCCAGAAACGCTGCATTCGTCTATTCCTTATCATTTCCCCATTCCCTCCTTCCCACTTCACTTTCAATTCTATGAATTAGGTCATCTATTAGCCCCGTTTTATAGAATCAGAAAACTGAGGCTCAGAGGGGTTATACAGCACCCCAGGTTGGAAGGTCAGATTTCAGCCTTGATTTGATTAGCTGCGCCACACTCCTGGTTTCCACCCCTAGCGGTCCCTCCCTGCTCACAGCCCATCTGTACTGGAGTCAGACAGAGAGGCCTCTCCAGCTGTATCTTAACCCCCGGCTTATGCTGTTGTACTGCCGCTGCCCCTACCCCACCATGGTGAGCATCCATGCAGAGGTGCTAAGGTGCATTTATCCCCAGCTCTGACGGTCTCGTTTGACCAAGAGATGCCTGCAACACCACCTTCAAATACATAAAATACATGGTCCCCGAGGCAGATGGCCAGAGCGGGTGTGAGGAGCACGATTAAAGCAGGAATGACCCGGGTTGGACCCAAGAGAGAATGCCAGCCAGCCTGGCAGGACCCCACCACGACGCGGCAGGTTTTCTGCCCTCTCTGGACAGATTCGGAGAGAAGCGAAGCTCGGGGGCTGTGAGGGGTCAGCGGCCCACAGCTCAGAGCAGAGCGGCTGGAACTGTCCTTCCAGTGTATCACAGGCACGGCGCGGTGCGCCCACTGCCCACCTGGGCACACACACGTGTGTGTCCACACAGCGGTCCTGGCCGAGGGCCCCCTCACACTGCCCAATGCCGACGTGGGTGGCTCATGGGGCCCCTAAGCTGGCACATTGGCAAGACTGTACCAACACAGCCCTGGCTGAGGGCTCTGGGCCCTGAGTGTGAGAATGGGTTCTGGAACCCTCCACCGCCTGGCTGGCTGGAAGACCCCCATCCCTCCCCTCCCCCACTCCGGCTGAGATGTCTTCAGTTCGCAGGAGGGGTGGAGGGGCCAGCTGCCGGCTCAGCCCTGGAGAGCAGCGCATCAAATCGGAGCTATTTTTAGCCCTTCTCTCCAGCGTCTAACATCAGCTGAGCAGTGGTGGCCAGCTTGGGGCACGCCTCTGAGAGCATGTCTTAGCTGGGGCCCGGGGAGATGACGGGGAAGCGCCCCAAAGCTTCAGGGAAGGGAGGTGGCTGTAGCGGATGTCAGGTCCTGGTGGCAAGGTGGCCTCAGCATCCCTCCGAGCGTGGGTGTGAAGTGCCCCACCCGCCTCAATTCCCCACTGGCACAGGGGGGCCCAAGCGACTGCGTCTTCTCTGAGACTCTGCAAGACACCTGGTTTAAAAAATCAAAACGCCTTTGCAAACGTGCATGTTGGAGGCACGCTCTCTGTTTCTCATCAGCTCCCAGGAGGACAGAGAGCCGAGCTTCCAGGAGTGGGCTGATCTCTGCACAGCTGGTGCCCAGCACACTGCCGGACACCTGGTGGACATTCCCAGTTTGTCTCATGAATGAATGAACCAACTGGTCAGCCTGGGAGTCAGACCCTTGAGCCCTGGGACGTTTAGAGTGCAACCTCCCTGGTCGGGTATAAGGAAAACCCCCATCTTCTCCAAGCTCTGTGTCAGCTCGGAGTGTGCACAGTGGGCGTCTGGGAGCTGGAGCCCAGGGCAGAAGCTGGAGCCCTCTTCCCTGCTCTTCTCCGGCCTCCCCACCCGCCCCCAACTCGTCCTCAAGCCTCACTCTCTGGCCTGCTGGGCCCCCAGTCCTGAATGAATGAGGCACTGCCTTCCTCTCTCCAGCCCGTTGGCGCAGGCTCGTCTTAACCAAGTTTGAAGCCCATCACTGGCCCCACCCAGCCTTGTGAGTCTCTGCTGGGAGCTGGAACCACTGCTGTGTCCACTGCGGAGAGGCCGCTTTGCCTTCATCTGGATGAGAATGAAGACTCTGACGATGGCCTTGCAGTGCTGGCTTTGCCTGCTTCTTGCTGGAACGGATTTACCCGTCTGCACCCGAGCACTATGGGAGGTTGGCCCTGCCCAGTGAAGTACATGTTCAGAGTGCCTCACCACCTCAGCAGGAATCCACTGGCCCAAAGTAAAGTCACGTGCACTCTGGCATGAGCTCTGAACCATGTGACCAACATATAAGCATGAGCCTGCCCGGGGCAACGGCCCTGAGGATCCCTGGGCCGGGTAGGAGGACACGCCTGTGCCTTTGCCATAAGCCTCTGGTGCAGGGTGTGGCCAGCACATCCCAGTGTCCCTTTTCTATCCCAGAGTGGTGGTGGTGTTGTTCAGTCGCTCAGTTGTGTCCGACTTTGTGACCTCACGGACTGCAGCACGCCAGGCTTCTCTGTCCTTCACTATTTCCCAGAGTTTACTCAAATTCAGGTCCATTGAGTCTATGATGCTATCCAACCATCTCATTCTCTGTCGTCCCCTTCTCCTCCTGGCCTCCATCTTTCCCAGCATCAAGGTCTTTTCCAATGAGTCAGCTCTTCGCATCAGGTGGCCAAAGTATTGGAGCTTCAGCATTAGTCCTTCCAATGAATATTCAGGGTTAATTTCCTTTAGGATTTACTGATTTGATCTCCTCGCAGTCCAAGGGACTCTCAAGAGCCTTCTCCAGCACCACAGTTTGAAAGCATCAGTCCTTTAGTGCTCAGCCTTCTTTATGGTCCAACTCTGATCCGTACATGACTACTGGAAAAACCATAGCTCTGATCATATAACTTCTTTCCAAATCTCCACAGCTGAGCAGACAGCCGAGCAGACTCTACCCTGTAGCCTGCAGGGTGATGATCGTGGTGATGGCAGCAGTGACTTGGACGAAGCCATGGAGCCGGGGCAACCCCTTGGGTGTGTGGGCAGGGGGAGCTGGAGGAGGGGTGGGGTGAGCAACAGCATCTGACCGTGAGCTCAGATCACCTGCCAGGGCAGGCGTTTCTGAGATCACTGCCCCCCGACCCCCTGTTTTCAGGCAGCAGCACTACTCCTCAGGCCCACACCAGATGGGGTTTAAGAATAATAATGAACAATAGAATTCCTCTACAGTTTCTCTCTCCATGTGGGTACACTTTTTGACCCCTCTGACACACCTGACTTTTCCTCATCGCCTTCTTAAGGTTCCAGCAAGGTGGTCTGGAATCTCCCCTGAAGTCAAGGCGGAAAGCAGGGGCTCCCCCGGCAGCACAGGGCACAGGTTGTATGAGCAGGAGACAGCCCCGGGCCCTGTCTCTTCCCCGCGGCTCTGACCTCTTGCTCTCGTGGCCAGGACGGTACCTCATTCATGGAACGGTTACCTGGGAGGGGTGCTGGAGGCCTCCCTCGTGCCGGACACAGAGCATGGTCCAGGCCCGAAGGCGCTCCTGTTCAGTGGGGAGAGGTGAGGGCACTTAGTCAAGGGCCAAAGGCTATGGACTGCATGGTCCCCAAAAGCAGGAGGGGTTCTGGGTAAAGAAGAGGAAGTTCCCAACACAATGGGGGCAATGAGAAAGGCTCCAGGAGGAGGTGAAGTCTGGGCAGAATCTCAGATACTCAAGAGACCCATTCTACAGGCCATAAGTCCCTTTCCCAGTCCCATCTGCCTTGACCCAGCGGGCGTGGGGCCAAGCTTACAGCTTCTCCATCATGACCTGAATCTTTCTGGTGAGAGATAACCCATGGGGCTGAAACTGGGAGCTTTCTGAGGTCAGGAGCCGGGCCATCCTCAGCTTCCCATCCTCCCTAGCCCAGGAAAGAATGGATAGATGGATGGGTGGAGTGACAGTTGGACGGATGAAGAGGGAGTGGCTGGGACCAGTGAAGGTCCACATCGAGAGGGAGGAACAGGTTTTGAGCAGGGGAGGGTGGGGTTCTGCCTCCTCCAGCAGGTGGGCTAAGCCTGGCTGGTAGGTAGTGTGGGGGTCCCGCTTTACTCTCAGTCACTATTCCTTCTACCTCCTGGTGGCTCAGACGGTAAAGCATCTGCCTACAATGCAGGAGACCTGGGTTGGATCCCTGGGTCGGGAAGATCCCCTGGAGAAGGGAATGACAACCCACTCCAGTATTTTTGCGTGGAGAATTCCATGGACAGAGGAGCCTGGCAGGCTACAGCCCACAGGGTCACAAACAGTTGGACCTGACTGAGCAACCAGCACACCACCCTTCTGAGGCCTGCTAAGAGGATGCCCCCTGAAGCCAGTGTGGCCCAGGGCACCCTCCCAGTCAGGCCTCAGATGCCGCATCCCCCATGGGCTCCCGAGGCCCAGAGGCAGCAAGCACTCCTCCGAGGAGCCAATCAGAGCAGAGAGCACCTATCCTGGGCCAGCAGCCCTGGACAGGGCAGAGGGTGGCTACAGCAGGGCCCAGGACCCCAGGCCTCTCCTGTCCTCCCCCTGGCCAGGCCTGAGATGGCCAGAATCACATCAACACCTGGAGCCTCTCCTGCATCATCCATACAATGGGAATGAGGATCTCTGTGGAATCTCTTTTGGGTTCCTGCACATGCAAGTGAAGAAAGGGACACATCCACACAATAGTCTCTGGTCTAAGAACGCATGACAAGAGTAAAAAGCCTAGGAGCTTCCCTGGTAAAGAATCTGCCGGGCAATGCAGGAGACACAGGTTCGATCCCTGGTCTGGGAAGTCCCCACATGCCTCGGAGCAATGAAGCCTGTGCACCTCAACTATTGAGCCTGTCCTCTAGAGCCCGGGAACCGCAACTACTGAAGCCCGTGTGACCTAGAGTCTGTGCTCTGCAACTAGGGAAGCCACCGCAATGAGAAGCCCACGGTCTGCAAAGAGAGAGTAGCCCTCGCTCGCTGCAACTACAGAGAAGCCCGCACAGCAACGGAGGTGCAGCCCAGCCAGAAGTAAAACAAGAACAGAGAGCCCAGCCTTCCCCTCAGACACTGGAGGCCGAACTATCAACTCATACCTCAGCACATTCGGAACTGAGTCTGAGCTGCAAGAGCAGATGGCACAGCGGGCCGGCACTGTGGACCCCTCGTTCACTGACTAAACCGTCCCCCTCCCAAGGTCGTCCATGAGTCATTGCTGATCATTTTCTGTAAGGCAGGCAGTTTGCTGGAAGTTTCTCATGGGCCATCTTAAGTAGCTATCATGGCTGCCCCATCAAGCAGGCACTACTGCTGGGCTATTCTCTACACAAGCAACCTGAGGCTGGCCCAGAGATGGCATGCTATGTGCCCAAGGTCACACAGCAAGGGTGGAGGAGCTGGGATTCACACCTGGGACTGGCTGAGCCCCAGAATCTCAGCAACATGTCTCCCTATGAAGATGCCTTCAAAATCACCAAGAGCTACCCAATCGGAGTCCACCAACATCCCCAGGAACAGCTATGCCAGGCAGCTCCTTGTACCAACCAGCTGCTCTGGAAGCCAGGAGAACACAGCATCTTAAGCCCACACCCTTAGAACTCATGTTCCAGACTGAGGTAGAGAATAAACAAAGGAGCAGATAATTATGTAGCATTATGCCCAGGGTGATAAGTGCCCGGTGTGAACAAAGCAGAAGGGTAGAGACAGAGGAGCGTGCATGGACGCGTGTGTGTACAGGGGGAGCACTGGCCGGCGTGCAGCTGGGGGCTGAGCCACGTGGAAGGAAGAGACAGTCCACAGCTCAGTGACAGAAACGGACTTGAGCAGAGGTTGTGGGAATGCTGGGGACCTGCAGGCTGGGCAGGCATGTGGGGACAGGACGACCTGGGGCTCATCACAGAGGAACTTGGTTTTAGTGCCAAATGACAGGAGGAGCGTTTTGTACATTGCACATCACGTTGTTTCTTTCTGATCTTTGTGCTCGGTCTCTCCGCTTCCTTACATGGGGCTGTGATGTGAGGGGTGGCAAGTGACTGCCAATGGGTGTGGAGTACTCTGATGCTGCTGCTGCTGCGTCGCTTCAGGCGTGTCCGACTCTGTGCGGCCCCATAGACGGCAGCCCACCAGGCTCCCCCGTCCCTGGGATTCTCCAGGCAAGAACACTGGAGTGGACTGCCATTTCCTTCTCCAATGCATAAAAATGAAAAGTGAAAGTGAAGTCGCTCAGTCGTGTCCAACTCTTCGAGACCCCATAGACGGCAGCCCACCAGGCTCCTCCGTCCATGGGATTTTCCAGGAAAGAGTACTGGAGTGGGGTGCCATTGCCTTCTCCGTTGGGGTACTCTAGTCCTTCCTATTACTGAATAATACCCCATTGCCTAGACCCACTAAGTAAGTCAGTCTTAGTTGCTCAGTCGGGTGCTGCTCTTTGTGACCCCATGGTCTATAGTCTGCCAGGCTCCTCGGTCCATAGAATTCTCCAGGCAAGAATACTGGAGTGCTCAACATCACTCATTATCAAAGAAATGCAAATCAAAACCACAATGAGGTACCATCTCATGCCAGTCAGAATGGCTGCTATCAAAAAGTCTACAAACAATAAATGCTTGAGAGGGTGTAGAGAAAAGGAAACCTTCTTACACTGATGGTGGGAATACAAACTAGTACAGCTACTATGGAGAACAGTGTGGAGATTCCTTAAAAATCTGGAAATAGAACTGCCATATGACCCAGCAATCCCACTCCTGGGCATACACACCGAGGAAACCAGAATTCAAAGAGACACGTGTACCCCCATGTTCACTGCAGCACTGTTTATAATAGCCAGGACATGGAAGCAACCTAGATGTCCACTGGCAGATGAATGGTTAAGGAAGTTGTGGTAATATACACAATGGAATATTATTCAGCTATTAAAAAGAACACATTTGAATCAGTTCTAATGAAGTGGATGAAACTGGAGCCTATTATACAGAGTGAAGTCAGTCAGAAAAAAAAAACACCAATACAGTCTATTAATGCATATATATGGAATTTAGAAAGATGGTAACAATGACCCTATACACAAGACAACAGAAGAGACACAGATATAAAGAACAGATTTTTGGTCTCTGTGGGAGAAGGTGAGGGTGGGATGATTTGAGAGAATAGCACTGAAACCTGTGTATTACCATATGTGAAACAGATGACCTGTCCAACTTTGATGCATGAAACAGGCACTCAAAGCTGGTGCACTGGGACAACCCAGAGGGATGGGTTGGGGAGGGAGGTGGGAGGGGGGTTCGGGATGGGGGACACATGTACACCTGTGGGCTGATTCATGTCAGTGTATGGCAAAAACCACCATAATGTAAAGTAATTAGTCTTCAATTAAAATTAAAAAAAAAAAGAATACTGGAGTGGGTGGCCATTCTCTTCTCCAGGGGATCTTCCTGACCCAGGGATTGAACCTGGGTCTCCTACACTGCAGGTGAATTCTTTACATCTGAGCCACCAGTGAAGCCCCATAGATACACTACCTTTTGTTTGTTCATTTATTCACTGATGAACATGTTTGGGTTGTTTTCACTTTTTTGGTTATTTTGAATTATGCTACTGTGAACACTGGTGTACCAATTTTTGTGTGAACTTGTTTTCAGTTCTGTTGGGTACAGAGCTAGGAGTAGAACTGCTGGATCATATAGTAACTCTAGGTTTAACTTTCTGCAGAACTGCCAGACTATTTTCTGGAGTGGCTGCACCATTTTCAGGACTGCTCTAATTTCTCCACATCCTCGCCAACATTTGTTATTATCTGTCTTTAATTTTAGTCATCCTCATGGGTTTGCAGTGGTATCTTGTGATTCTCACTTGCATTTCCCTAATGACTAATGATGTTGAGTACCTTTTCATGTGCTTGCTTACTGGCCATTTGTATATCATCTTTGGAAAAATGTTCATTCAGATCTTTTATAGTTTTATTATTAATAACTGACTCACTCATCTCTTTATCACCGATTTGTAAAAGTTCCCTATGTAATCTACGTACTAGTCCCTTATCAGATAGATGATTTGCAAATATTTTGTCCCATTCTGTAGCTTATCTTTTCACTTTCTTCATGATGTCCTCTGAAGCATGAAAGGTTTTAGTTTGGATGATGTCCAATTTGTCTATTTTTTCTTTTGTCACTTGTGCGTTTGGTGTCACATCCAAGAAGGTTTTGCCTAACTTAAGGTCATGAAGATTTATTTCTATGTTTTCCTATCAGTGTATTAGAGTTTTGGCTCTTATGTTTAGGCCTATGATCCATCAAAGTTGATCTTTAGGTAAGATGTAAAGTGAGGCCCAAGTTTATTCCTTTGCTTGTGGAGGCCAGCTGTCCCAGCACCACTTGCAGTAAAGATTATTCTTTCCCCATTTAACTGTCTTCACACAAGATTTGTTTCTGGACAGCTCTGTTCCAACAACCTACCTGTCTATCTTTATGACAGCACCACTGTCTTGATTGCCATAGCTTTGTAGAAAAAGGCTGGAAAACAGGAAGTATAATTACTCCAGTTCTGTTATTCTTTCTCATGATTGACTTTCTCTCTCTGCTTTCTAACATTTATTGAGTGGAGATCTATGTCAGATGCAGGGCTAAGTGCGCTGTGTGTATTAACTCGCTTAATGTGACCTGTGAGGTAGGTACTACCATAGTCCCATTTTACAGATGAAGAAACTGAGGCAGAAACTGACTTTTACCCACTAAACTCCTACACAGCAGCGCAGGCTGGTCTCTTGGGGGTTTCCAAGACCACCCTCCGAGATCAGACGACTTGGTTCCCAGCTCCTCTTAGCCCCTGCAGACGTGTTCCTCATAATCACCCTGGGATACTGTCACCCTGCTTACAGAGAGGTCACTCCCAGAAATGTCTGCTTAGGACTCTGTTAGGGGCTGAACTGTGTTCCCCCAAAACCCGTATGGTGAGGGCCTAAGCCCTCAGACTGAGTATCCTCGCAGATGGGATCTTTAAAGGGGTAATCAAGGTAAAATCAGGCTATAATCGTGGGCCCTGAGCCAACATGACAGGTATCCTTATAAGAAGAGGGGTGAGGACAACAGGTAACACACAGACTGGGGTGGGGGCGGGTACCACGCGAGGACGCAGCAGGAGGCGGCTACCATGGACTGAACTGTGTCCCCCACCCCATCCCTAATTCCTGTATTGAGGCCCCCACCCCACAGTGACAGCATCTGGAAGTGGGACAATCAAGGAGGTGGCTGAGGTTAAATGAGGTCTCCAACCTGATGGGCCTGGAGTCCTTACGAGAAAAGGAGGAGGCACCAGAGACGTCTCCCTCTGTGCACACACAGACCAGACAGAGGGCCATGCGAGGACATGGGGACAAGGCGGCCACTTAGCAGCCAGGAAGAGAGGCTTTGGCAGAAAGTAACCCCGCCTGCACCTGCTCTCAGACTCCCAGCCTCTAGAACTGTGAGAAGATAAGTTTTTGCTGTTTAAGCCGCCGGTCGGCGGCACTTTGTTAGGAAGTCTTGGCAAACCAGCAGAGTCCTGGGCCTGTCCTTGGGGAAGAGGCGTCTCTGTCCTTTCAGCTAACAGCTGCTGCCTGCTGCCTGTGCCAGGCCTCATGGTTATCAGGCCAGGAAGCAGGTGGGTAGGTGTAGTGAAAGTCGTTCAGGTGGGTCCGACTCTTTGTGACCCTGTGGACTGTAGCCTGCCAGGCTCCTCCATCCATGAGATTCTCCAGGCAAGAATGCTGGAGTGGGTAGCCATTCCCTTCTCCAGGGGATCTTCCTGACTCAGGAATCGAACCCGGGTCTCCTGCATCGCAGGCACATTCTTTACCATCTGAGCCACAGGGAGGCCAGTCTGGGTGCAGGGTGTGGGTCCAAGGGCTCTGAACCTGGAGGTTCAAATTCTGCTTCCTCTCCCACTGTTACACAGGCATCCCTTTGACTTCAGCCTAAGGAGGTAACACATTCCATCTCATTTTGCAAGAATAACAGAAACTTAGAAGTGGAATGGGCAGGAATCCAACCAGTTCCTTTACAGATGAAGAAAAAGGAGGCTCCAGAGAGGACCCTGGCTGTGACGATCCCTCCTGCCCTGGTCTCCTGACTCCCAGCCTGTGGTTCGGCCCTGACTGCTGCCTTCGCTCATGGGGTCTCTTCTGGGTACTGAGGGGGCAGGGTGAGGGGAAGGGCAGACAAGAGAGCTGGCACAGCATGATTCTCACAGTTTGCTTTGAGCTGGAAAGGAAATTGGCCTTACCCTCCTCAGTAGCCTGAGACAGAGACTCCCCCTGTTCACCATCCCACACCCCCCCAGAGGGGGTCCTTTACCTGGCTCCATTCCCCAGGACTTTCTGCACTGCCCGCCCTGGTGGATGGCAGGGATGGATGCTGGCGGCTTGTCACGCTTCTAGCCCTGCCTTGGCCTGTCTTCTCAGCCCTGGGGGGCCAGTTCCACCCTTCCGCAAGGTAGCGCCTGACCCTACTCAGAGACGCTCCCCAAGAAGGCAGCGAGCTCGCCTGAAGGTGGGAGGGACACTCGGGCACAGGGATGCGCAGACCCCACTGGAAGAACACTTGGAGGTGCAGAGCCAGGCCAGCCCCAGGGCGTGAAGGGTCTGCAGCCATGCAGGGGGCTTCCCAGAGAAAGCAGCGGGCATCACAGGAAGGGGCGGCGGAGCCAGTGACTTCACAGGGGCCATGGCCAACACTCACAGCAAAGTGGCCGGCTGCCCCTCTGCTCCTCCCACGCCAGCCTCCACCCCAGTGGGCTGAGGAATTGGACTAGAATTTGGAATGAAACTGCCTTCAGCTTCCTGGGGACAGGTGAGGCCTCTCTTACCCATTCCCATCAGAAGGGAGAGCCCCTTCCCTCCAGACGGGCCCTTCCATTCAGCTGGGCATCGTACGCCTGGAACAAGCTTCCAGCAGCAGACTTGCGGTCCCCCAAGTATCCCCCACCACCCCCTCCCCTTGGCAGTGACAGGCTCCCCGGGACTGGGGGATGAAGTGTTAACGTCTGGCGGGCTCCCAGGAGACAGACAGGCAGGCCCTGAGGTAGCGATGCCGCAGTCAGTCACTGACAGGAAGAAGGGATGAGAGGGCTGTGGGACAGATGGAGGCTCCAGCTGCCCGCCAGGAGCCCAGGCTCCCGCTCCGAGGCCCCTCTCCCTCTGTGCGGCGTGTTCTCACCCCCCACCCAAGGTCCAGTCCCTCCACTGGGGGCAGATGGAGCTCGTCAGCTGGGGACCTTCACCCCAACCCGGGGAATGCCTCTCCTTCCCTCCTCCGAACCAGCCAAACTGGGGACCGAGGGCATCTGTTCAGATCTGAGTTGGTCGTGTTTGGTCCAGGAACTTGAACTAAACCAAATTAAGAGCTGACATGCGTGCTAAGTCACTTCAGTCATGTCCGACTCTTTGCGACCCTATGGACTGTAGCTTGCCAGGTTCCTCTGTCCGTGGGATTTTCCAGGCAAGAATACTGGAGTGGGTCACTGTGCCCTTCTCCAGGGGATCTTCCCAACTCAGGGATGAAATCAGTGTCTCCTGCCTTGGCAGGGGGATTCTTTACCACTAGTATCACCTGGTATACCTAATCTCAGAATGACCCCCTAATATTATCATCCTTTTTTAAGCTGATTTTTTAACTGTTAAGAAAAGCTATTACAGTTAGATTTGTAAATAAACACGGACATTTCCAAACGCACTAGACCAAAACAAACAGGAGAAACCATGGCGATTTGTAAAGTCTGTTGGGCCGGGGATGTGCTGTGTGACCTTGCGTAAGTCCCTCGCCCTTTCTGGGCCTCAGTTTCCCTCAAGCGCATCAGGCTAGATGATCCAAATGGCTCTTAGCCTTGTTTATCTAATCCCTGAATCTCAAAATAGTCTCCAAATGGACTCTGCAAGCCCTCCACGAAGTTCAGTTCTCGGCCTGGATGATAACCAAGACAAGTCATCTGGAAAAGGAATGTTCTCTCTGTGCCATCTGTGAGGAGTGTGGGAGACAGGCCCGAACCCCGGGACTCAGGGAGCCTGCTGACTCTTTGGAGCCGGCACTAATGTAATTATGTGATTAGGACATTCACCTCGGTTTTCACTGTGCTCCATGTGGTTAAATCAAAAGTGACAATGAGCTGCCTGGTGGGTGACGCCATTCTCCCAGAAGGGCCCACGGAAAGTTATTCTAGGCGGGGGTCATCCTCAGAGCTGAACATCCACTGGCGAGATGGACCGTTTCGGAGGCATCTGTCACCTGGGGAGGAGTGCGCCTGCTGCTGTCAGGGTGGGAGTCACAGAAGTGGGGGTGAAAAGGGTTGGGGCAACCCCCCCATTCTCCCGTTTCCAGATGGAGAAGCAGGTTGGTCACTGGCTAACAGAGGCGGTGCCATTTCAGCTGTAATTTCTCATCTTTGAACAGGCTGACTCACCGCTCCTCTATCCCACCAGGAGGGAGGAGCTCAGTGGAGAAAGTGACAGAGCCTGAGAGCCTCCGGAGAGGGGACGGGGGAGGCATCAGGACCGAGGACTGTCCCGGGGGGCATCCGGGTCTGCGGTCAGCAGCCAGGCCTGGGAGCAGGACCTGAAGCGGGTAACTCCTCCCGGGCAGAAGTCAGGTCTATGCTTCAACAGGAAAACACTAAGCCTGAGAAGGGGGCCTGACGTCCCTGGAGGTTGGAGGACCGCCCTCTCCAGGGCTCCTGCAGACAGAATTGGGGTGCTGATGCCGAGTCCTGACCACCTCTCCCACTCACCCTGGGCCCCGGCTGGCTCTGTGGCTCCTGCATGTAGGCTCGGCAGGGATGAGCCCTCCAGGACGGCCGGAGGGCTCCTCGGGTGCCTCTCCTCTCCTCCTCCCGCCCTGCAGTGAGCTTGGCGTGGTGACTGCAGAAACGACAGAGGGACTGGGTCCCTCTCTGCTGCCACCAGTTCCCCGTGGCCTCGGAGGCTGGGGGGTCAGGACCAATGGTTTGACACTATGGGGAGACCGGTTTGGCCCAATATCTCCATCAGCTGGGACTGCTCTAACCAAATAAGAGGGCGGGTGTGGGACTCAAATAGCAGACAGACACCACTTCTCACAGTTCTAGAGGCAGAGAATGTCCAGATCAAGGTGCCAGCAGTCCCAGGTCTTGGTGAGGACTCCCCTCCTGGCTTGCAGATGGCGACCTTCTCGCTGTGTCCTCATACGAGTTCAGAGCTCAAAACAGAGCTCTGGCCTCCTCTTCTTCTTTTAAGGTTTTTTTCTTTTTAAAGTGTGCATTTGTTACCACATTGCTTCTGATTTTTATGTTTTGGTTTTTTGGCCTCAATGCATGTGGGATGTTAGCTCCCCCACCAGGGATCAAACCCACAGCCCCTGCACTGGAAGGTGAAGTCTTAACCACTAGACCACCAGGGAAGTCTCCTCCTCCTCCTCTTCTGATAGGGGCACAAGCCCATCACAGAGGCCCCACCCTCACAGCCTCACTTAAGTCAGTATACCTCCCAAATGCGGAGACTGTCACCTTAGGAGTTAAGGCTTCGACACGACTCTTGGGAGGACACAGCACTCAGGGCATACCACCCAGTTCAGAGAAGACAGGAGAAAATCACAGAGGAGTCAACCAACCGTGGAGCTGGAGGCTCCGCGTGCCTTCGGCCGGGATGGCTGGGAGGTCCTTCTTGGGGCCCCTCCCAAACAATGGCTGGAGACATGAGGGGTGAAGGGTACAGAAGTCAGCCTGTCCCTTGCTCTCATGAATGACCCTGAGCTTGCAACAGCCCTGCGGAGTAAAGTGAAGCCCTTCTCACTTCAGGCCCTGGCACCCTGCTCGCCTCACCCTCAGCCTGCCCGCGGTCCAGGCTGCCTCCCGATGGGCAGGGCACGCAGGTCTCTCCCCAGGCAGGTGGGTATGGGCATAATTTCCTCCAGGAGATCGAAGGAAGCCTCAAGCACATTAACCTACGAACATCAGGCAAAGGTTGAGGCCAGTCCCTGGGAAAGGATGCGTATGTTCCCAAAGGCAGAGGAGAAACAGATTAAAGTAGAACTGAGGCTTTCCCTTTGATCAGGAGAGGAGAAGAGAAGAAAGCAAACTCAGGAATTTTCACTGTGGGTCAGATGGTCTGCCACTGAGTTGGGGTTGTCTGATTTGATCCCCAAATAGTCCAGCCAGAGAGCATTGTTCTCCATTTACAGACAATAAAACGGAGGCTCAGAGGTGCTGAAGGATTGGCGGCTCTGACAGTAAAGAGCTGCCTTCAATGCAGGAGACGTGGGTTTGATCCCTGGGTCAAGAAGAGCCCCTGGAGAAGGGAATGGCAACCCACTTCAGTATTCTGCCTGGGAAATCCCATGGACAGAGGATCCAGGTGAGGGACTATGATCCATGGGGTCGCAAAGAGTCAGACACGACTGCATGACTGACACACACAGAGAAAGTTGGAACTTCAGGTCTGACATCAGAGCCGCCTCGAGTCCCAAGGCCTGCATTTTCATTCCTCTCTCCCTCATGCTCTCCACCACTCACACCTTCATCCAACAGTACTCGAGGGCCTGAGACACAGCACGATCTGTTCTAGGAGCTTGGGATACAGCTGGCATTCTAGTGGTGGGCGAGGAAGAAACACCTACGCAAAAAAACAGTAAGTCTTTTCAAGAAAACAAAACTAGGGCCATGTGACAGGGAGTGGCTGGGCATGCCCAGGCTGGACTGACCAGTAAGCAGGGCTCTCTGAGGATGGGATGGGTGTCCTGAATACTAAGGTCCGGGGTTAGAATGCTGCAGGCAGAGGGCAGGGTGAGCATCTGGGCCCCCAGAATGACTGAGGTGTGATGAGCAGGGGACAGCCAGTGCCATGACACCAGGTCAGAGAGGAAAGCAGAGGTGACCTTCAAGCCCCCATAAGCAGGTGGGTTTTTCCCTAAGTACAAAGGGAAGCATTTAGAATGACAGGATTTAAATGGCAAAGTGGCAAGATCCAATTTACTAATTAAGAAGATGGTTCTGGCTTTTGTGTGCCCACGGGTGGGGAAGCTGGACACCGCGGGGCTTGGGCCAACTTCCGGACAAGCTAGGGCAGTGCCCTGAGTGACAGTGGGCAGTGAGGCCAGAAGTCATGACACAGAACGGCTTTTAGACCAAGAGCTCTGCGAGTCCCTCCCTGCCTGGCCAGGGCTGGCCGGAGACACAGGAGTCAGGGATGGGACTCACCGTTAGCCTGAATCCAGAAC